CAGAATTAGAATTAAAAATGTTCATCTTAATCAGCAGATAAATTGTACTCCCTCCGTCCCATAATAGAAGAGCGTTTTTCACACTTCTTTGAAAACTTGCACCAAGATAGCTTAATAATAGGTATTCATCCACATGAAGAGGGCTACGTAAGAACGTACTCTTGATGCTCCATTACGAGCCAATAAAATCCGCTCTTTGTCGAAAAATGTAAGACCGTACATCAATTGGCGACTCGACTAAATGATAAAGGTGAGAGGCAGCAGAGTTTCTCTAATGATACCTTCTGAACGCGGGCAAGCAAACGGGTAAGGTCACTCTTGAGGCTCCGCACACGCTCCAAGTTCTTAGTGCTGACATTCTTGGTGAGCTCATCGAGCACGGGAATAGCGCGCCTCTCAAGATCAGCCACACTGGAGTCCAACGTGGAGCACACGGCCTCAAGCCCGACCTCCAGCACCTGGAACTCGAATGGCAACTCATGCTCTGCCCCGGTGGCCTCATTAAGACAGGGCACCTGATCCCCGGGCGAACCATCCTGCTTGACCCCATTGCTATCACCGCCGTGTTCACCATTCCCACCCACCAGGCTCCTCAGAGGGAGATGCTGCCTCAATTGGTCGACGAAAGGGAGCACCTCCTGCATCAGAGGGTCCAATAGGAGGACCTCCTCCGCAGTAACAATCGCCCTGATGAATTCTAGGTTGATGACCATCGCCTTCTCTCTAGCTGCACAATCAATCATCGTATATGAGTATGTAATGCTTGGGTCTGCTTGGTTTTGGCAAGAGCAAAATCCGCGTCCCTGATGGCGGTCGGTATTGATTTAGCGAGCGCTCACCGAGGATGTTTGAGGAGTGGGAGAAGACAGGGCCGAGGATGCGGAGGTCGCGCGGGGGCACGCCCGCGCGGCGGATGATGGAGGCCTTGTCGAGCTCCAGGATCTCAGAGGAGCCCCACCGGTCCAGCCGCATCCACAAGCGGGCGCCGGCCTTCTTCTTGCCGACCTTGCCGGACACGCCGGCCACGGCGGCACTACCCCCGGGAGAGGGGGCAGGCGGAGACGTGGTGGTCTGCGGCGCGGGGGGCGGAGTGGTCGGGGAGGGGGGAGGCGGCGAGCTGGGCTTGGGCAGGGAAGGGAGGCGGCGCGCGGAGCGGGTGCGCTTGGTGGAGGACGAGGAGGAGGCGGCGGAGAAGAAGGGCAGCTTCCTGCCTCCGGATCGCCTCCCCATGGCGGCGGCGGCGGCGGAGGCGGCGGCTTTGATCGAGGTCGTTGGGTAGCGTGGTGCGGCACGGGAAGAGAGGGGCTGGCAGTTCGGGACGCGTGGTTCGCGTCCAATCAATATCTGCTGCAGCTCCGGGGTGGGCTGGGCTGGAACCAGGAAGTGTGTGCGTGGGGAGTCGGGTACGGCGCCAACCGTTAGAGCATGGTTAATAGTATAGTTAGCCGCCGGCCAACTAAGCAGAAATATACTAGTTTATTTCTTATAGCCCGCTGACT